GGTGTGCGGGCTTCTCGTTGGGGAGCACAGGCTCTTGGCGCACAGGCTTCAGTAGTTGTGGCTCGTGGGCTCAGTAGTTGTGGCACGTGGGCTCAGTAGCTGTGGCTCACGGGCTTAGTTGCTCTGCGGCATGCGGGATCTTCCTGGACCAGGGCTCGAACCCGTGTCCACTGCATTGGCAGGCGGATTCTTAACCACTGCGCCACCAGGGAAGCCCGGGTGTTATCTTAATATCCTTCAGATTCCTTCCCTGCCACCTGCTTACTCTCCCTGCCCACCCCCCACCCTCCAACTATGTTTGTGGTTTGCTAGTGCTTAGCCAGTCAGCGGGTTTTCAGTTGACTTAGTAGTGGCTTTAATTATCCTTTTGAAAAGCTGATTAGTCTGGTTTCAAACACATCTACTGAAAAAAGGATTTACTGATAGCTTGAGTGGAAGCTTCAAGGGCACTTAGGAGTCAACTGCGTATGTGTTCTTACAGAGGAGAATCATGAATTCAGAAAAATGTGGTGGCCTTAGTCGTCTCCAGGCCAGCCTCTTCATTTTACATATAGAGAAGAGTGAGAGAGGAAAAAAGTCCCACAATAAGAAATTTGCAGATCTGGGAATCAGATCTCCTGACTCTTAATTCAGTCAGGTCTCTTTTCACTGTGTTGTGGAAGGAGTGTAACCTAGAGGTTAATATTTTGGGCTCTGAAGTTGGGCTCCTCGATGTTGAATCTTGGCTCTTAGCCACATAATTGCCTGTTGACTTTTGGGAAGGGTATCAAGCCTCAGTTTACCCATCTATAAAATGGGACAAGGAAGCCAAGTGGAAAAATACATTATCATTTTCAGGGAACAAAAAAAAGGGCGTATATTGATATTTCCTATTTGTAAAAGAGCTGCCTGATGTGTAGGCAGTCATGTCCAAGGGGTGAAGCAAGGGTCTTCTAAAGAAAGGGTCTTTTGGCCAAAGGTGTCGATATCCTCACTCTGGCCTGCCACCCTGCCTGCTTTATCTTTGGGATGAAGGACCCCAAGACCTCTTAAAATAGATGAATTACCAAGATGGGGTCTCACATTAGATCATGATGTTCATTAAGACCGTGGTTTGAATGACATCCTCTGGTTTATCCTGAGCCAATAGTGAGGCCAGGAGGGTGACATGAGGTCCTGCTTGGAAGGGTACCCATGGGCCCATTTGGTAAAAGCACTTATTGAGGGTACCTCAGAGATTCCATTTTCCTTTTTCTTTTTTTTTAAATATATATATATTTTTTATTTATTTACTTTTGGCTGCATTGGGTCTTCATTGCTGCGTGCGGGCTTTCTCTAGTTGCGGTGAGCGGGGGCTACTCTTCCCTGCGGTGCGTGGGCTTCTCATTGTGGTGGCTTCTCTTGTTGCGGAGCACAGGCTCTAGGCGTGCAGGCTTCAGTAGTTGTGGCATGCGGGCTCAGTAGTTGTGGCTCTTGGGCTCTAGAGTGCAGGCTCAGTAGTTGTGGTGCACGGGCTTAGTTGCTCCGCGGCATGTGAGGTCTTCCCGGACCAGGGCTCGAACCCATGTCCCCTGCATTGGCAGGCGGATTCTTAACCACTGTGCCACCAGGGAAACCCCTCCATTTTCAACATGGAACAGATCTTCTAAATCTCTGTCCTCTGGCCAGCTGGGGCAATTGAGGGTAGCAGAGGTGACCCTCAACCTCCAGCAAGTTCACATCCCCTCTTTGGGCCTTTTATCCCTTCTCTGGTTTGTTGCTCCTTAAAAAGAGGAGGACTTGGCTAGAAGCCTAGCAGTCGTTAAGCTCTCAGGGTTTCTGTACTCCCTACTTGAAAGAGAACCCTCACTGTCCAACATGCTAGTGTGTTACAAATGGGGAAAGCAAACGTGTGCTGCTCTTCACACTTTTGTCTTTTGCATCCAGTAAGAGGGATAAATGCTGCTTTTTCGTGTGTGTGTGTGGGTGGGGGGGAACGGTGAGTTGTCTTAAAGGCAAGATTGGAGGTTCAGAAGAAGCAGCTAGGGGAGCTTCAGAATTCTGTTCTGCCTCTGCAGACCAGAGACCTCCAAGGTGACTTTAAAAAAAAAAAAAATTAAGTTTTGGCTTCGTTGGGTCTTCATTGCTGCGTGTGGGCTTTCTCTTACAGCGAGTGGGGGACTATACTTCGTTGCGGTGTGCGGGCTCCTCATTGCGGTGGCTTCTCTTGTCGCGGAGCACAGGCTCTAGGCGTGTGGGCTTCAGTAGTTGTGGCACATGTGCGGGCTCAGTAGTTGTGGCTCGCGGGCTCTAGAGCACAGGCTCAGTAGTTGTGGCACACGGGCTTAGTTGCTCCGTGGCATGTGGGATCTTCCCGGACCAGGGCTCGAACCCGTGTCCCCTGCATTAGCAGGTGGATTCTTTTTTTTTTTTTGTGGTACGCGGGCCTCTCACCGCTGTGGCCTCTCCCGTTGAGGAGCACAGGCTCCGGACTTGCAGGCCCAGCGGCCATGGCTCACGGGCCCAGCCACTCCGCGGCACATGGGATCCTCCCAGACCGGGGCACGAACCCGCGCCCCCTGCTCCGGCAGGCGGGGTCTCAACCACTGGGCCACCAGGGAAGCCCCTAGCAGGTGGATTCTTAACATGCGCCACCAGGGAAGTCCCCGAGAGGTGACTTTTTACTCGTATAGCCCCATCCTTCACCCCCGAGGCTGCCCTTTTGCAAACAGGCTGATATGAATTTCATAGTCAAACAGATCTATGCTGGCTCACCTGCCGTGTGGCCTGATATTTTAAAATTTTACCCTTTTGGGTTAATCTTCTCATTTTTAAATGTGCAAGCAGAGCTGGAAGGGACTGCCAGTTCATCTCTAGCTGATGAGATGGTTGAAGAGACCTCCTTGGGGGGGTGTCAGGAGACTCCAATTCCAATCTCTGCTCTAACTCCAAATTACTGGGTGACCATGCGCACAGCCACTTATCTCTCATCTCAGTTTTGTCATCAGCATCTTAAGGAATATCTCCCACCTCAACCTGTGGGAACATAGGAGAGCTGGGGTAGGAAGGGCTCAAGACACGGAAGAAAGAACACTTTTCCTCAAAGTTCAGTCAAGTGTCTGTCAGGCAGCCTCCCTTTGCTGCACTGGGGTCTGAGAACAGGCTCTGAGGATACTGTGCCTCCCGGGTGGTCTGGGGCTTTGTTGTGCCTGAGCTTACCTTCCTCCAGCCCTGATCGGTGAGGGGCTGGCTCCTCCGATAGCCTGGGAGTCAGGGGAGAGATGGTGGCTGTTTAAATTTGGGGTCAGAGGAGGGGCGTAGGGGCGGTGATGTGCATGGTATTGGAGCTGGGCTTGGTGTTTTATTTACACAGCAAGCAGCCACGTTTCCGGAGGGGTGTGGAGGTATTGACAGAGATTATAGGAGAGTGAATTTCCTATTCGTCCACCCCTTCGCACCTAGAGCCAGCTGACAGTGTGTGAGGGAGAGGCGTCCTGGCTCCAGCTCCCTCCTGACAGCTGGAAATGCCGGCTGCCCTGCCCCCTCCTGAGGCGTTTGTAATTCCTTAATACCTACTGATCTCAGAAAGGCAACGTGTGGCGCCTCCCCGGGTGCATTATCTTCCCAAATAGGGTTGCTGTCCTCCTGCCTTCTCTACTCTCTCTGAAACCAGCCCCCATCTATGATTTTCTTCAACAGCAAGAGTCACCATATTGCTGAGCTCTGACACGGGCAGGGCACTGGGAACACATCAGAGAACAAGGCCACTGGCTCCCTCCTTTATGGGAGCGTTCGTGGGTGTGGTGTGCGCATGCGCACGCGCAAGACTCAAACAACTGCGCGCACAGTACATTGGTTTACCACAGGTCCTTCCCCCACTGTAACTAGCCTTCCCAGAATAGCTTTCAGAATCACAGAATGTTAGAACCAGGCCAATTCCCACCCTGAGTGGGGAATCGGAGTGAACCTCAGTTTGAGGTTGAAACCTGGGGAAGGGATTTGTCCAGAGTCAGAGCAGAAACTGTGGGCAGGGCCAGAGTTGAAACTTGGCCGCCAACTCCTGGCTCGGCTTCCCCTGCGCCTTGTTATTCCTGCTCCAGCTGCAGGAGGAATCCTCAGGTGTGGTAGCTCCTCCGCCGATGCTAGATGCTAGGTGGCACCAGCACACCTTGGAACAAAAAGGCTCCCAATCTGGCTCCCATCTGAAAATGCCCGAATCCTCACTGCTGGCAGCCTGAAGTCCAGGCTGGGTGCTGTCTTCTCCTAGTGCCCTCACAAGGCCTGCCTGCTCGGGGGGCTGCCCCTGATCACAGTCCCACTTCCTTCATCCCTTCCCGGGTCCCAGATGCCTTGGGGACCTGTTTGCTCCTTACCTGGAAGAATTCACTCCTATGTGATTGATTTCTTTTGGGGGCTCTCTGTGCAGAATGGAGAGTTCTGGCTGGGTGATCAGCTCAGGGGAGCTATTTTAGGGCCATGCAGGCACAGATTCCCCTTAGGTGCTAGTATCTTTCTTACTTACTGAAGCTTCTGTCTGGGTGAACAACCCAGCTGAACATGGTGTGGTCTCTCCCCAGGTCACATTGCCAGTCTGTGACAGAGGGGGGATGGAGTCCAGGCTTGCTAAGGACCGCACTACTTTGTCTCTCAAGAGAATGTCCAGAAGACAAGACCCTCTGCCACTTGGTCCCTACCTGCCCCTCCAGTGCCGTCTCACAGTTGTGGAGCTCTGTGGCTAAGAGTATGGGCTCTGGTTTCAGACTCCTGGGATTGGAATGGCGTCTCCCCAGTTGTTAATTGTGTTACTGTGCCATGTTTATGGAACATTTCTCTGCCTCAATTTCTCCCTCTGTGAATGGGATGGGGTAGATTACATAGGATCTCAAATTTCTTTGCAACTTCCCCCACTAAAGGTGGAGTATACTTTCCCACCCCCCTGAAACTGAGCTGGCCTTGTGACTTGCTTCCATAGGAATGGGTGGCAATAACGTGTGAGCTCTGAGCCTAGGTGTCAAGAGGCTTTGCAACTTCTGTTCTTTCAGGACATTGCTGCCGTGCGACAAGCCCCGCTGATGCCATTGAGGATGTGAGGCCACATGGAAGGAGATCCCAGCCGTGCAGCCCAAACTGCCCACTCACAGCGTTGTGAGTACATGAATGATTTTGGGGGTGGTTTGTTATGTTGCTGAAGCTGACTGAAATAGGGGAGAATAATAGTACAGTAGTCTTTCCTTATCCATGATTTTGCTTTCTACAGTTTCAGTTGCCTGTGGTCAACCATGGCCCCAAAATACCAAATGGAAAATTCTAGAAAGAATTTGTAAGTTTCAAATTGCATGATTTTGTGAGTAGTTTGATGAAATCTTGTGCCTTCCCACCTGGGACATGAATCATCCCTTTCTCCAGCATATCCGAGCAGTATATGCTACCCCCATTACTCACTTAGTAGTGCTCTAGTCTCAGTTATCAGATCGACGGTCCTGGTATTGCAGTCCTGGGGCAGGTAGGGACCAAGTGACAGAGGGTCTTATCTTCTGTCCAAGTCACCCTTACTTCACTTAATAATGGCCCCCAAACACAACAGTAGTGATGCCAGCAATTTGGATATTCTCTTACTGTGCCTAATTTATAAATTTTATCATAGGTATGTATGTATAGGAAAAAACATAGTGTATATAGGGTTTGGTACTATCTGTGGTTTCAGGTATTTACTGGGGGTCTTGGCGCATAATCTCCTAGAATAAGGGGGACTGCTGTACCTACCTTGAAAGGTTGCGGTGAGGTTTACATAATAATGGGAACTTAGATCAGCGCCTAGCACACATGAAGCAAATACAGTCGTTACTACTAACATCATCATGGGGCACTTCCTCTTGCTTATTGCATTCTAGTCCCACCGACCTCCTTTCTTCTTATTCTTCTTTCTTCCTTGTTCCTTCTTTCTTCCTCCTTCTTCTCCCCCTCCGTCTTCTTCTTCTTTTAAATATACCAAACTCTTCCTTTTTCAGGGCTTTCATAATTAATTCTTTCCGTTTGGAATTGTCCTTCCCTGCTGTCTTGTTTTCATGGTTGCGGTCTCAGCTGAAACTTCTTCTCCTTGGAGAGGTCTTCTCTGAATCTCCCTCCTCCCTTCCTCTCCATTTTTGCTTCCTTTCATTGTGTCTGATCATCACATTTATTGATTTCCTTGAATGTTGTCTGTCTCCCCTTCTAGATTTCAAGTCCCTTGAGGGCAGGAGCTGGGCTTTTATCCTTGCTGCCCACCATGGTGCCGTGCACAGCAGGCACTCACTTGGTATTTGCTGAATGAGTGGATGAAAAGAGGCATCTAGTCAATATGAGTTTGAGGTTGGTGTCTGGTTTCCAAGAACAGGGGAGTGTCCAGGTTGGAGTTTCAGAGAGAGGAGACTATGTGTGCTGCTTCTCATTCTTACAGCCGTTTAGGTTTTTGTCACACTCTTTGTTGGATCAATTATGTTCCTGATATCCTATGTCCAATAAGGCTATGGGCTTCTTTAGAAAGAAATTGAGTCCCTCACAGCCCCAAGCACATTGTCAGGCACCTAGTAGAGGCTTAACAGAAGTTTATTGGATAGATAAAAAATGGATGGACGGGTGGATGAATAGATGAATAAATGAGTGAATGTAAAGAAGGATGGATGGACAGTAGTACTGAGACTGCAGGCAACAATGGAAAACCATGTTTATTTTTTCCTTCTAATAAAGGACAGTACATTTCCAGTCAATCTGTAAAATGTCATGAACGTATAAAAATGTATTAAGTACAGTCATCAGCATTACATTGCAGAGAAATAGGTGTTATAACCTTTTCCCCTAAGATGGTACTTGGATGGTCACTGTTGGTTTGCTTTAACAAAAAAGGGCAAGAGTAGGTGACCAGTTGGCCTGGTTGGCCCAGGACTAAGGAGTTTCCCAGGATGTGGGGCTTTCAGTGCTAAAACTGGGAAAAGCTCAGGCAAACTGGGATGGTTGGTCATGCAAGAAAGAGAGCAGCACGAGAATGTTGGGTGTGCTTTGGTGTTTAGGTACAGGGGTCCGATATTTTCTCAACTTCCCATGACCTCGCTTCCTTTTAGCTCTGGAATAAAAATCCCTGTGTTATTATCAAGGGTGTTACAGCTTTCAAAGGGTTTTAACAACCCCGTGTAATTTTGACTTGATCTTTATGCCAAGCCTGGGAGGTAGGGCAGTTCTAACCTAATTTGCAGGTGAAGCATGCCACGTCAGTGCTCCTAGAGAATACGGGGCAGAGAAAAGACTGCCACCCCCATCTCCTGAGGCCAGTGTTCTTCCCACTACTCTGTTCTTTTCTGAAACATCCTACCTGTCTCATCTGGCTTTCAGGAGTGAGCAGGAATCATACAGGGGAAAGGAAGGACCCTGAGATCCAAGCTTTGGCTTTGGCTCATTCCCCTCATTTGGGACAATTTGTATGATTACTGCTTTGCCTGATGTGTTTACCTGCTCCTCCTCTAGCAATCCTCATGAAGGATTCCCCTGAAGACCCACCAGCTGGTCAGTGCTGGCATCATTATGTGGCAAAGTCAGTGAAAGAGATCCAGTATATTTGGGCCATGTCCCAAATGGCCCTTCCAGTTAAGGTTTGCCAGCAGGATGGTCAGAGGACCAGCTCAGTCTGCCATGTGCCAGCTTGATTGTTGAGCTCTTTTTGGGTACTTCTGCTGAGAAGTTACTCAAATGATAAGTCAATTCATGGGGTGGCTGTAACTTGCCACACTTGTTCCCACCCTTGTACTTTTTGCCTGACATATATGGGCACCACCTTAAGGCGGGAGGGTTCAGTAGTCCTCCCTGGCGCACCTTAAAAGACTAGGGACAGGCTATCCTTGCCCGTGGTAGACCTCACTTCTCTTGACAGTGTATTAGAATCCTATCATCCATTCTTTTATTCCAACACTGTTTTGAGCTCTTTTGCATTTTTGGCATTTATGACCTCTAGGGATAAGAAGTCTATGTAATCCTTCTTTTCCCTGTGAAGTGAGACTTCCTCTGGCTCTCCCTAATTCAACTGAAGCCTGTGATATTCTGGGATAAGCTTAATAAATGGGGTTTGACACTGGTCCTACTCTTTCAGATGTTGTTGTTTGGGCTCAGAGTTGCTCTGTCATGCGGGTCGTCTGTTCTGGGTGCAGCTGTGTAAAGGTCTGATCTTAGAGCTTTCCTTTTCTGAGAGTTGAACGAGGAATGGGTACAGGCTTCCCCTGCTATCTGAAAGTAGAGCGTTAGTATGAAAATTTTCGTAAGCTGAAATGGCGTAAACAAAGAAGCAGTTACCTTAGGACACATCTTGCTAATGGATGCACAAAGTATCTGGATAGATCCAGATAAAGCACAGCTGCTTAGACACAGTTCAAAGCTATGGCGGTTTGATTCTGAGCTGCTGAGAGGAGTTCCTGGGGAAGGAGTTGGGTGGTACCACTCATTGCTCAGTGCTCTATAACCGCTGGCTGCAAAATAAACGCTGAATGCTATTTTCACTTTTCACCTTTTTTGGGGGGTAAAAGCAGAAAGAATTCTTTGGATTCTTTGGATTTCTTTCGGTTAGCAACAACAGGTACCAATGTAGATCTTTGGTAAAAGTGAAATGGCTTAAGGCAAACTTTTGAAAAGTGGGGCATATTTGTACTTTTATTTAAAAATAAATAAAGTAAATATCTTTAAAAGAAGAGTGCTGCCCATGCCCTCTTGGTAGATTCCCCAGACTGTGGGACCTGTAGCCTATTAGCTGAAGCGTGGAGTTTCTGCTTCACGTGCTTACGTCCATTCGCTTTCACATGCTTATGTTCTTTCTGCCTCTTAAACTAGCTGCGGCCTTATGACCCTCAGAAGTGTCTGTGGCTCTGAGTTCAAATTTGATTTTAGGGCTTCCCTGGTGGCGCAGTGGTTGAGAGTCCGCCTGCCGATACAGGAGATACGGGTTCGTGCCCGGGTCCAGCAGGATCCCACATGCCGCGGAGCGGCTGGGCCCGTGAGCCATGGCCACTGAGCCTGCGCGTCCGGAGCCTGTGCTCCGCAACGGGAGAGGCCACAACGGTGAGAGGCCCACGTACCGCAAACAAAAACAAAAAAAAAAAACCCAAAGAACCCCCCCACACAAATCTGATTTTAGTCTTTAGATGTGATTTTCTTTGGTTTAGAGTAGACCCAACTCTGGAAGGGATGTTAACCCCGACATGACCATCCCTGCAATACACTTGAGATGAGGCACTTGTGTGTATGAGACTCTTCTGAAACTTGAACTCTTGACACCGAGGGGTGAGGTGATGGTTTGACAAGCCCAGAAACTTCCAGATCTTGAGATATTGGCTGGCTCGCTACACACTTCTTGGCATCTGGGAAACTGATGGCCCAGTTGCATTGGGTTGTAGGCTGTACTTAACTAGAGGGTCAGAGAATGTCTCTGGGTTAAAAAATGAAAAACGCTCAATGCAATAGAAATATAGCTTCCTTATAAAAAACCTTTTGCAAGAAGTGCTGCCTGGCAGCAGGAGAAAACTAGAGGTCGACTGGTTTCCAGTCCTTTTTTGTCAGACCCCTTGGGGCCAGCACTTCCTCTAAGGAAGTCAAGCCTGGTGGGGAGAAGAGGATAAGACGGGCACATTCTTCCCTTCATGAAGAGGAAGAGTCGTGGTTAATTAAGCCAGTGATTAGGCGGCCTCCTCTGAGTTTGTGCAGATCCCTGCAGGCCCCTCATATGGTCACTGAACTCTGGGATCGGCGATGACTGCCCTGGCTGAAGGGCCGGTTCGAGTTAGTCTGTCCACTTGAGTAGGCTCCGGACGCCATCATCCTACTAGGCTCCAGGAGAAGGTGCTCCCCAGATGAGAATTTAGTCCAGGAGTCCCGTGAGCATGGGTCATCCCTTATGTGGCCTCCACTGGATCTCTCTCCGGGCAGCACCCAGTCCTCTTTGTACTTGCACTCCACAGGGCTCGAGCTCTTTGGGGTGCTGGCTCTGAAGCTCGGTCCTGGGGCAGGTGGCCCTGGACGGTGGGTGGGCTGGGCCTCTCCAGGGACAGTGGCAGGCCTCTGTCGGCTTCTCCAACTCTGGATTTCCAGCTCTCTTTTGTCCATGGGGAGTTTGTCAATTTTCTGAGCTTTTA